AAAAACAATATCAAGAAGATTTGTAAAAATTTACTGTCGTCAGATTCTTTCCACTTTAATTGCACTGTTCTACATCTCTCCATAACAAAACATCCACATTTTCCCAAGAATTGATGTTCAATGATGTTGATGTCAGTTCTCTTAATCATAGCGACACATGAGAAGCAACTTGTGTATCCTTCAAGAGGCGAATGGTTAAATTAATTATGGTACATACACACTTTAGAATTCTAGAAAGTGGTTAACAGGGTGAGGTGGATCTGTTTGTGCTCTCTCAGAAAGATCCTGCATTTATTTTATTCAGTGACAAGGGCAAGAAGCAAAATGATATGTACACTGTTATACATGTATTTTTTAAAATCCATGGTATATTTTTCCAATACATGTATGTAAGAATAGTCCTGGAAAAAAATCTTAAAATACTACAAAACAAGATTTTTTAATGCAGTTACCTCCGGGATGGGATAAAATTTAGAGGAACATAGTAAGGAAGGAGAATTATAATCTATCCCTATTATTAGAATTTTTTGGCAACACGAATATATGCCCTATTTTCTTTGTAATTAAAATACATGAGAATAGAAATAGTATCTACGTATTATTCAGATAAAGTATTTATGAGATATAATGGGAAAACGTGGTTTAGAATTGCTTCACATGACAACGTTTTATTTCTTAGGTACATAACATTTGATGAGCATTGGCAAGGTGTTTCAATTGTCAGGTGATCCCAGGATCCAGGGCGCTTCCGTCATGAACTTCCCCAGCCCAACACAGGCTCTGTATGTGTGCTGCTCGATAAAACAAAAAGCGTGCAAGTGGCATACTAGTTCTCAGATACCTTTGTCTGGAGGTGAGAGGCATGCTTCTGCTCATATTTCAGCGCCAAGGATAGTCACTTGACCCTTCCTAACTACTAGTAGAGTGTCAAGTAGCCTCCAAGAATAGAGAACAAGACATGAAGTAACTGAGCATCTGCAGACCTTCCCATTAACTGTTACATAATAGGCACTGAGAAAACAGCAACTATTACAGTTTGCTATGACATTAGCCCTCTTTATTCCTGGAGAATTTTCCGAGAAGATCAAATGTAGCTGCCTTTCAACAACTTTTTCTAGTGTCCATGTGTGACCAGTGTTTTCAAATACAAGATCACACCAGTTTTCTAAAGGGCACTGGAAATAATCTCAGCAGGCAGATGTCACCCCTTTTCACTGTATATCCCCTTTCTGCTCTGACCATGGATTATAATAATGTTATAATCTCAATACACTCAGAATTTTCTGATTCCTTTTGCTACATGGAAAACCTATAATTTGTGAGTCTCTGCTATCCACTACCTGAATAATGTGGCTGAACACTTGTTCAGGTATCTGTAAGCACACTGAAAAATTAGGATTTTCCTCTGAGGCAGATAGAGACAAGAGTCAGGAGTATGCTGGTGAAGTTTTTTCTTTTCTTATGAAAACTGGTGTGTCTGCCAGAAATATTTTCTGTCTTGGTGGTGGACTGAATGATTGTTCCACAAAGATGCCCGTACCCTTATCCCTGCAACTTGTGAATATGTTATGTCACATGGCCAAAGGCACTTTGCATATGCCATTAAAATTAAGGAATGGACCTTCAGAGAGGGAGATTATAATGTATTACCTGAGCAGACTCAATCTAATGACATGAGCCCTTATAAGCAGAGGACTTTTGTTTGGCCAGAGGCAGAACAGAGATGCAGCACAGTGGGAGTAGGAGAGTTTCCACATGAGACAGAGTCAACATGCTGTTTCTGAAGTAGGGACCCATTTGCAAGGAGTGGAGAGAGGCCTTGAGGAGCTATGGCAGCTGCAGCTGACAGCAAGGAAACGTGGCCTAGGTCTTAACATTACAGAGAACTGAATTCTTCATAGAACTGGATTCCTAAAGCAACCTGTGCAAGTGTGGAATGAGATTCTTCTCAGTATCTCCCCATAAGAACCCAGACTGACAGCTTGATTTGGGCTTTGTGTAACCCTGAACAAAGAAAACAGCACAGCCAACTCATATGTATTACCTACAGAAAGGTGAGATAATAAATGTGTGTTGTTTTAAGTGCCTTGATTTATGACAATTTGTCAGCAATAGAAAGTTACTACATTCTCCTGGAAGGACACCTGAGTTTTTAAGAATCCAGCTTCTGCTGATTGTTGCTATATAGTGATTTCTTCACACCTTCATCATCTACCACTTAGGAGGGAGGCTTTGGTTCCTGACCACTTAGTTAAGCTCTCTCATCAATTTATGGATTCAGTGGCCAGTCTCAAATATTTTATCAGATTAAGTTCTTTTGTCTTACTAATCCCATTTGCTTTCTAAAAACTCTTTAGGGGCACCTGGGTGGTTCTGTCGATCAAGCATCTGACTATTGGTTTTGGCTCAGGTCACGGTCTTGCAAGCCCAGCATTGGGTTCTGTGCTGACACCCGGAGCTTGCTTAAGATTCTCTCTGACCCTCCCTTGGTCACGCTGTCCCTGCCTCTCTCAAAAATAAAAATAAATAAATAAATAAACTTAAACAAATAAATTAAAAAAAATATTCCCTAACTTCAGGGTTATCTTTCAAGAATCAGTAGATCCTGTGCCAAATCAGACTGCTCACAAGCTAATTTGGAAAAAAAAACTTTGAGTGAGAGAGAAGCACCAAGAGCAGATGAGCAGTCTAAACTTCACTGCCAAAGTAAACAACCACATGAATGGGATTACTGTTATCACAGAGGGATTCCGTGGTCAGGCATGGGACAGACAGGGGACATCTTCAGGAGTTTGGAATGCACTAAGTTAGGGGAAAGGCACGTGATTCTGGGGCTTCTGTTTCACTGTGAACAGAGTGCAGCCTTATGAAAGGAAGTTGGACAGCTGGTCAGGATAGAGATTTTGACATGAAGGCATACTGGGAAGACCCAGGGAAAGAGTGATGTAATTCAGGAAGCGCTGGAACTGGTCCCAAATTCTGGGACCTGGGTGGAGTCAGCTCTCAAGGAACCCTGCGGGTAGAAGCAGGAGGAGCCTAGGTAGATTAAGCCCACCAACTCTCCTGAAATTGTTTTTAATTCTCATTTTCTTCTTTATTCCAGCTGGGCTTAATATATTGGCCACAGGGTCCTTCATTTCAATTCCCTGAGACATTGTGGAGTAGTGAGAGTAGAAATGAATTAAAAGACAAAACATTTGCTTTATTCAAGAAGGAGTGGAATAGTGAGGGACCCTAAATGAAGTCAGACCAGATGTCTAGTCCCACTTCTGACATTTATGAGCCAGATGAAGTCAGGAAAATTGCAGAGCTCTGTAAGACTTTTCTGTGAAATGAGCTAGAGAGGTCCTAGTCTATAGGACTCCTGGGATGTATATAATGTATGAAAGCACTCGGCACATGTCTAGCATGTATTCTGTTTTTAATAATTTGCAGTAATGACTATTACTTTTTTGACCCAGACTTTACTGAAATCTGCTCTGTGATTTTTTTTTTTTAATCCAAGAGGTATCAGAGAATATGCAGCACCCTATGAGACAGCACAACAAATCAGCCAACACGATGCATAGCAAGTAAAGCTAAATTACTTACTATGCGTGCTTTTCAGGATATGCTATTTATTGCATGTTGGGGAGAGTCTTCCCAGTTAGGTGGAAGTTAAGAGTCATTGGGGTCAAGAACCAACTCCCTCCAACTGTCCTTCCATCCAAACCACTTCTCTTTTCATTTATTTCAGTTCCATTCAAAATCTATCCCTCACTTGGGAGTTTGCCAAATTACACATAACTTAATAAGATGAACTTGAATGTAGTGGGAGGTCTCTCGAGGCCAGAGCAAAGATTGCTAGCACAGTGGCTTCTAAGCATACCCATGTCATGTGAGTATCACCTCTAGTTCTCAGAAACTCCCTGGGGATGATATGCCTAAAACACAGTTTGTGTGCTGTGTTGAACCGCACTGGGAAAAGAACCGTGGGGAAGGATGCAGGACACCTTACATTCCCCAGGAGATTTCTCTCTGGTTAATTCATGATTTTAAAGTAGCTGCTAAATAGTTTTCCATTCCAGGCTTTACGTCTCTTAACTCTGGACACAACTTCTGGGGGTCTGGCCCCTACCCACCGCCCCCACAGCCTCATCTGACCCACCACCCAGCTTCTTGTAAAACTGACTCACACCAAAGGACTTGCAGTTGCCCAAAGCCCCAGACCCGCTGGCCTGAGGGCACCTTACACTTGACTTCTCACATCTGGATCCTCCCCATGGGAGGATGTGAGAAGTGAAGTGATAAGTGCCCTGAGGCCAGTGGGTGTATCCCATCCTCTGTCCTACTTGACAGCTACTTCTACACTCTCAAATTCTATGGGCACAGTGGGTTTTGATTATCCTGACACTCCCAGTACTAGCACGAAGACTCCCAAAGAGCAGATGCTCAAGGAATGTTTGAGAAATAAACGAGACAGTGTGCAAGACGTCTAATTTATTATGCTATAATTAATTCTACATTATTGAATAAACTAAGCACATCTAAGTGTGTATATATGTGTGTGTGTGTGTGTGTGTATGTATGTGTGTGTGTGTCTATATTAACTTGAGAGAACAGACCAAACGGTGATAAAGGAATGTAAAAAAATTCATCATCTTTTACACTCTCTATTTCTTGATCCCAGCATTTTACTGCTGAGTTCTTTCATGGAAATGCTACGATGTTATGTTCCAAGTAACTAAATAAAATGGAAAATTTCCCAATTTTTTCTATAAAATTGTAAAACTCTTACTCTTAAAACTCATGAACATCAGTAAATGAATTACTTATTCATAAACTCATACTCTGAAGCTACTTAAACTTTCTGTTAAAAGGAGCAACATTTAAACAAATATCCAGGTTCCTTCATAGAACACAAACATGTTATATATTCTCTGGTCTCCAGCCCCACCCTGACTTTTCACTAATGAGAACATTAACTGTTCTCTTCAAACAGATAGTAAGTAACCTTCCTCAGCCTTCACTTGGGGCAGGAAAAGCTGCTGGCTATGGCCTTGGCACGTGCACTGGCCATGGCAGCGGTACCAGCCTTGGCTAGAACTCTGGCTCGGGCTCGCTCTTCCTCATCTCTCAAAGCCTCTTCATAACAGCCTGGGAAGGCAGTGGGGGCGGTATCATGGGCCTTGGCCACAAACTCAAGGACTTTCATCTTGCTGGTCTCAGTGTAGGCTCTGGGGCCCCACAGGAACTCATAGTGCTGAGGATCGCTGTTGGGCACCTGGCGGTACTCCAGGTACTTTTCTTTCACCCAATCTTTGGTGATGAGCTTCTTGGGATCCCCATAGATGAAATTCTTTATTCCATCATACAACCCCATCATATTCAGCACTTCCCAGACTTCCTCCTCAGTGGCACGGTTGCCCTTTGTGAAGATCACACCCAGGACAGTCATCAACAGGCCTGTCTTGGGCACAGCTCCATTATCATTCACTCTTGCATCGCAGCTCCGTTCCAGTTTGTTGATAAGGACGTAGGTGTTCCTGTTGGGATCCATTTCCTTTACATCAAGGCCAAAGACCAGCTCCAAGTGCTCAGAGGCTTTCCTTAGGATCTCATGGAAGTGATTCTTATAAGTCTGGATTACATTTCTCAGCATATCTGCCTTAGTAATTGGCTCTTTCACTTTATACTTGTACAGCAGGTAGTATACCAACAGAGCAACTTTCTCTTCTATAGGGCCTCTGCGACCTTGCTCAGTGGTATCCCTGGCCTTTGAGGTATTTTGCTTTTCCTCCACTTGATTGCTGGCATCTTCATTAAATTTTGTGTTTGAAGCAGCTGCAGCAGTAGTGCTGGTGGAGCAGACTCCTCCAGGAACTTTAGGACTCCTGGGTGTTCCCGTGGCAGGGGAGCTCTGGGGAGCATCTTTGAAATGAGGAGATGGGGAAGAGGGAGACTCTTCTTCCTCTGGGGCAGTGGTCTGAGCAGGCACCAGACGCTCTGGCCCTTCTCGAGCCTGGCGGCGTTTTTCACGGGCACGAAGCTTACTCTTCTGGCCCCGAGGCATGATTCTGGTCAGGGACAGCAGGCACGAATGTGGAAAAGAGGATAGATGATTCAGTGACCTGGAGAAAAGAGGATGAAATAGTGTGATATCCTTTGGCAGAGAGATACCACCTTGGGCTTTATCAACAGCCATTTCTTCAGGTTCCTTGAGGGTACTGCTCTAGGATCCCACAAGACTCCTCTTTTTGGATTAGCCTTTCCTCTGAGGACTCTGGAAGTAGCCAGAGTTCACCTTGGGCTGAAGCTTTCCACCCCTACCTGAGTCTACGGGAGCTGATACAGGGTTTGGCAGGTCCAGGCTCTATGGAGCCTCCCTTGTTGTGGAGTAAGGGACATTTCCATTCACACTCAGCACCATTTCCTTGACTTCTGATAGGACCTGTGGTCCTCTGATTAACCGATTTGATGCTGCCTCTTCATTCCAAAGCCCTCACCTCAACTGACGTCCTGGAGGAGGAACTGAAGGGGCACTATATCTGAGCACATCTGCCCAGGGTCACCCTAAGACAACAGAAATGGCAAAGCTATGTGGGACCTTCTTCATCCTAGGATAATTAGGGTTCTCACTTCGCATTTAGAGTCCACAACTTGGCTTCTTGCAGGGCCTAGGACTGTCTCTTGGCTGACCTTAGACCTATCCCCTCAGAGCAAGAATTATACATTTTTGAAAAATTTGAGGAGTTTGGGGAGGACTCAGTCTAACGTATCTTCCCCAGGGACCCCTTCGAGGGATGATATCACATGGAGGGCTCTGAAAAGCCTCTGTTCTGTGATGAGTGGTCTGCCCAATGCTCAGGTTCCTTATTATGTCTCCTCTCCTTGACTGCCAGTTACCCTCCCTTCTGCAGACTTTGAGGGCTATAATAATCAGACCAAGGCAGTCATCCACCAGATATCCTAGAATATGCAGTGGGGGGGGGGGGGGTAGGAGTGGGAGGAGACCCAAAATGATAGATATCCCCAGGGTTTTCCAGAGCTGATCACAGAAGAAGGTCCTGATTCTGTGCATCCCCCTCTGTTCTCACTTTGACCCCTAGAAGTAACCAAGTTATCTCCTTATAATAGGGCTCTTGTCTCCCTGGGGCCACTGAGGATAAAGTGAGAGGCATCTTAGCCTCACAGCCCTGCTAAGGATCCACCAGGGCTTATAGACGGGAAGTATTCTTTGGGGCCCCTTTTGTCTTGAGGGAGGAATTCCCCTCAGTCTTTTTTCAAGGTTATCAACGTCACTCAAATCCACCCCTAGGCCTCCATCTGCTAACCTGAGTCGAATGGCCTTAGACCAAGGCTCTTATGCACACCTCTTCCCGAAACTAACCAAAAGATGAAGCAAGGGGGCACCCGAGCCTTATGGCGGCCACACTAGGAGCCTCCAAGGGCACATAGCAGGGGTGGGGCTCTTTAGAGCTCTGGTTTCTCCTAGAACACAAATAGGGGCGTTCATCAACTCCAGGCAGAGCCTGAGACTCGGTCCTCTGATCGCTTGAGGCACACACTGGAGTCAAATATCCTCACCCCTTGGGGTCTCCTAAGGCTGACAGCAGGGGCACGGCTCAGAGGGGGCTCCTCTCTTATGGGGGAGGGGAAGTTCCACTGAGTTCACTCTATGTCCTCCGCTTACTCCTCTGATACTAACACCCTGGTTCGGTGCTATTATTTATCTGAGTTCTCAGAAGGAGAATTCACCCAGCAGTACATCGGGTAATCCCTGCCTGGAACCATCTAGGGCTAACGGCAGTGGCAGGACTGTGGAGTCTTATGTCTGTAGGGACGGAGTGGAAGCGGGGGTTCCTCAAACCTTACTCAATATTCTTATCTTACCTGAGATGAACATGAATTCCGCCCTCCACCGATCCGCCGCGACCCTCTCACAACAGGGGCGCACCTCCCACGGACCCCAGAAACGGAAGTCAGGGTGGGCACATCCGGCTTCTCCTGCCTGGGGCCTCACAAGGGGGGACTGCTGAAGTCGGGCGATAAAGAGTGTCTCTGTGGTGCCCCCCCACTGTTAAAGTGTCAGTAGTACTCAAAGTCATATCTAAGTAGGTTCTCATTTTGGCTCCTGGTGCATTGACTAAAGGCTCCCTGGGAAATACCCCCCTCTCTACCACCACATCGTCCCCCCCAC